CCTCTCCTTTTCAGCTCCAAAAAGGCTAAGTGCCAGCCAGCAAACAGCCAAAAGGGCTGCAGCAGGAAAAGCCTCCACACTAAGCTAAACTGACAAGAGAGGAGGAGACTGATGCAACGGAACACTAGTGTTAGAAGAGAGCCACGTACAGTACAATGCCTGGTTCACACACACACAATCACACAATCACACACACATATATACACACATGTGGGACAGATTTAACCGATGGGATTGCCTGGATTGGATTTGAAAATGTGTGCGGTGGAAGTATCCGAGTGACCTCCACTCTCAACCATGAAGAGTGGAGGTGCCCTTCAACGAGGAGCCGAACACCCAACAGTAATAGGCTATTGTTATACTGTGCTCGGCTGCGCTGCTCCCGCTGTGAATGTGTGCAGCTACAGTACATGATGTGTAGCAGGGTGCTGCTGGAAAAGGGAGCAGTGGCTCAGAGGACTCAGTGAACTGGATGCATGAGGGCAGCAACGCTCAGACGTATACGTGCATGTATGCAAACACACGCTTAGCAACGGAGCACAAGGGGCGATATTAGCCTGGCGCTGGATTAGAAATAGTCGTTGCAATCATTGGCGTTTAGGAGACATGTGGTGGTGTGCATTTTTAAAGTGTTTGCGTGAGTGTGTGTGTGTGTGTGTGTGGAACTGACATGCTCTTGTACGAGCCGGACAGTTATATAATGGCCAACACAAACAAACAGAGTCTTTCCAAGGGAGCAGAGGAGAGCCAACAACTCTGTGAATTCACAGCACTCAACCTCAACATCCTGGCAGAAAAATGCATTTTTAAAAAACACAATACAGGAAAACAATGTGGCTGATAAAAAAAGAAAAAAACATAAGAGAAACAGTCAGCAGACCTGTAGGAGTTCTGCAGTGATGCTCAAACTTTTCCCTTTTCATGAATGAGTAGCATGAGTGTCTGATCAATGTATATCGAGGATGAGAACATTTACCAATGAGGCATAATTTAAACCTCTGAAACCCAGGAAGTTTCTGGGCACTGTCACTTTTTTGTACTCACTCTGGGCTCATTTTCATTGCAATATAAAGTCCTGCACCTCTATGGAACTGGCAATACCATGGCTAGAAGTAGAGACAACTCAAAAACATCTTTAGTGCAGGATGACTTAGTTGTAATGATGTAAATCAGGAAAAGAATAAAAAATGACAGTTAAAGTTATCAAACCTGGAATGAACATGAACAACATTAAAAAATGGAGGGTTGCACTATAAATTATAGATGTTTTGTTGCTGCTTGCATTTTTATTTTATTTCCATTTTTGTCTCTTTGTAAACACAACCTGCAGTTCAGCTCAGTTCACCTGAACAGTGACTTGAATTTCACAGCTGAGCTTCTGGGTTGAGAAGGAGAGTTTTTAAAGAATCCAATTAAAGGAAATGTTTTATTTTTGGTAAATATGATAGGAAACATACAGAACAATGTAATTTTGATTAAATATCAAACTTTTAGGATTAGATTTTTCTAATTTCTTGTACCTTCATGTGACGGTTTATCAGTTAAAGCGACTGATGTAAAGTTTTTACAGTGATGTGTTTATGGTTGGATTGTTTTCAGTGAAGAAGCCTGTCCACAGTGTTGCTCCTCTTAAATTACACGGACATGCAGTCATGCTAAGAATACTAGTTATTCCAACTTAATGTTTAAATCCACGGCTTGGACAGCAGCAGTGTCATGTGTAAGTTGCATTAAAGGCTTTCTGATCACTAGGGGGCATGGAGACACCAAAAGAAACTCACATCTAACACAAATACAGCGACACTTGTATTCTATCTTCAAACATAGTGAATGCAAGACGTGCATTTGCCTCTAGTGAGTTCCCACCAAACTGTATATCTCAGCTGATTGGCAATACAAGCAACCCCTCTGCCATTACCGAGATTTAATTCATTGCCTGCATATGCAATATTGCTGAGCAGAACAGTGCTCGAAATTAAAAGGTGAAATAAATGCTGAGTCATTCCGGGCTATGTTCGAGCGGTTCATCGGTCAAGCTGATGTGGGCTTGCGTGACGATGTCAATGAAAGATGTATAACGCGAGTCCGGCATGTCTGCTGGAGAGCCCAGCGACTGTGTGCACGAGGGCAGCAGCTAAATCACTTAAGCGAGAGAGTGGAGAGTGATATAAAACATTCGACGTGAGATGGACGAAGGGCTTTGAACCGGTCGCCAAGACAATCAGCCGAAGGGGAAGGAAAGGAAGGAAGGAAGGAAACAAAAAGGAAAGGTACCTTTTCTTTTGGAAATGCTGAGAGTGAGTCAGTATTTTTTTTGAATATGTATCAATAAATCTGAACAAAGTCAGTCTTCTTTAAAAAAAATATACATATTTGGTAACTAATCCGGTGTAACAACTGTGACCCTGCGTCTGTGTTTAGAGATTTACGGTCGTATATGTGTAATTGTAATGAGCATTGTGGTGCTGGTAAGTTTCAGGATTGTGTGTCTTGATAAATCCAGCAAGAATGTAAACCTGGGTCTCTCCTCACCGTACAACAGAACAGCTGCTCGCACTTGCAAAACACACACACACACACACACACGTTTGACAAACAGACATCCGTTTGCTGTTTTAGGATCAAATTAGGGTTGCAGGAATTTCACACTGATGGTAGATAGAAGTTAGTTCACCTGCTCCAGTCTGTTTCTAATGACAGATGAAAGACTGACTTAGCGAGATTAGATCTGGCCTCACATTCTCTGTGGAAAGGCCGAAGGCTGCTCGCAAAACATACAGTAATCCACACGATGACTGACGCGTCCATTCACGGTGTACAGCCTCCTTGATATCAATTTTTAAAAATAATAAAATCAGCTGACATCTTCTGCTCTGACATATATTAGAAAAACACAGAAATATGTTCACATGAAGACACACCTGAAATGACACATACATGGCAGCCATCAGTCACACACACACACACACACATACACACACACACACACACACACACTCGTATAACTGCAGCTCACACATGGCGTCCCTTCGCCCGAGCCAGACAGAATTCATGTGATTCTTTTGAAGGCGCCACTGAAAAAACATCCTCGCTTTCACAAACATCTCTGGCTATGCACACAAACACACACACACAAGTGTGCACACACACACACACACACAGCCCAGCAAGATAATGACAGTCTAATACTAGAGTGTACTCTATTAAAGCCCTTAAACACACTTTGGAGTCTGTATAAACAAAAGCAACTCGCTCTCTTCCTCCGCCGCTCGCAGACACACAAACACACAAACACTCATGGAGCTCGGACTTCGGTAAATGGAAGAAGAAGCTGCATCGAGGCATCTTGTCAAGGAAAACAAAGCATGAAATATTCAGGAAAGGTGCTCCATCCTCGTCTGACTCAGAGCTAACCGCCGAAGCCAACAGCACTAAATACAATCAGCCTCGCTGCTGCTGCTGCCAGACAGCGTTTATGTTTAATCGCTTGATTATTCATCTGTGGTCTCCATTCAATAACAATATATTTGTTTATTTTAGTGAAATACCAATATGGACGGGTCTGTAGTTGGTCACTGAGGAGTCCTGAGGAGTTCTTCAGCGAGACGTGTTGATGCAACGTATAGCTTTCCTTTCATCCGCAGCCTGGTTCACAATAAATCAACAACAACCAAACTGCTCGGGTACGGACTCATGGGGTAACGTCTTCCCGAGTAAGATTTAAGGCCCAATATGTGTCTGTTTGAAGGTCTGTGACATGTAAATACTTGAGAAACCGTGCCTTAAACATCTGTTTCTGTCTGTTTTAGCTGGCTGTAGCACTGTAAATATGTTTTCATCTTTTTTTGCTATCGGTCTGCGCGGTGACCTAACCCCGCTCAGCCATCTATCTGTTAACACAGAGGGCCTGGGGAGCGAGCTGCACGATGGGGCCCCGGCGGCTGCACGAGGGGGCTACGGGGGCCTGTTGGTGCAGCTGTCCCACTCCGGGGTAACATAAGACCTTATTAGAGTCCATTAGACCACTCTGAAACTAATAAGAGATTGTCAAATACATCCAAACATTCGCACAATTCACAAAGAAGCAGGAAGTAAAAAGCAGGGTGGTGGGAGGCGGGGGTGGGGCTCTGGTATTTGTCTGCATCATGTCCCGTCTTTAAAACAACATGTTTGGTCCAATTTAGGGACAAAGACAGAAACTATAAGGCAATTAAATGTATTAGTGACACCTGGATGTAGATGATGAAATGTAGACATCTGTAAATAAAACCAATTCTTTCTGTTGAAGAGTTCAACACCTTCAAAAAACGAAAACATGCTTCAGAAGCAGATGACACCGGTCCAAAATCTGTTTGTAATCTGCGCAGCTATACATCATTCTAATCCTTCTTTTATTGTTGTTTACACTTTGCACAGAACCGTTTTTCATCTGACAGCTCTGGCCGAGCTTCTCCTCCGCATCTGGACAGCGAGACGGGCTCATCTGGAGTCCACAGAACCAGAAAGAGAGCTTCCCCTGGCCCTGACAGCAGGGGCTTGACCTGGGAGACTGCCTTTGATCTTTAATTAACGCTGGGAACAGCGATAGCGAGCGGAGAGCTGATGAACATGCAGCAGCATTTGGGAGCAGCTACAATAACTGAGAATGCTAAAGACCGACTTCTTTCTTTTTTCTTTTTTCAAACTTCAACACCGTTTTAACTTTAAAGTCGGTGTGGGACAGCCGCAGTGCAGAGGTGGCTGCCTTCAAATAGATGCTGCGTCTGGCTTCTTAAGCAGAGAGGAGCTCGCTGAAACCCACCGAACACATACAGAGCAGCGTGAACTCCAGCCACCTTCAGCACAAAGCGAGCGGGAGGTTTCACATGCAGCTGGAACTTTGGTCTCATTTGCAACACCGTGAGCACATTTTCTCTTGTACGGTCAAACAAAACCGACCAATGCACAAACCAGCAAAGCATGAAGCAAGCTCATATAAATACTTGTCGTTTAACGCAACACAACTTATCCGTCGTGGTGTTTAAATACGCCACTTTCTACAGAAACACAGAATGAAAGCGCTATAATGAAGTCGGGCCAGACTGCTGTACAGATGCAAAAATTCTCGTTGCATGGAAACACTGATGAAGTACTATAGCTGTAATTGATGAAAGCTGTTACGGCAGCCACAGAAGCAAACCACAGGAAATTCAATTTTGCATAAGTGGCGCGATTGTGTCTTGTCTGCGTACATGCACAGATGATTATAAAGACAAGGTTTTAAAAAATGTTAGATAAACGCTTTTCTGAAGCATAAATGGGGGGAAAAAAACAGCATATAACTAGTTTTTGGGGAGCTTAATGCAATACGCTGAATCTTAAATGGACTTAGACGCCGTCTCGTATTCTTAGATGAAAGACTCGATTTAGAATTTACTCTCTAAAGCTGCTGGTTTCTTGATCCCAGACGCTGTCATAGGGATCTGATTTACTTGTGTTTTTGAAATGATGATGTGAGGAGGAGCAAAAACAATCGAAGGAAAATTACAAACGAGCGAATTAAATGCTGGTAAAATCCAGATGAGATGTTTCACAGACCAATATGTCCGTCCGATGAGCTGGATCTGTTTTGTAGGACCAGCAGCCAAAGAAATCGTTTAGTCAATTCTCACACTTTGGTTTTTTCCAATAACCATCTAGCCACAACAGGAAAGCGTGTGATGATAGTGGAGCAGAGAGAAAGAGCAGTCATGTAGGTCAGAAAATGAAAGGCGGCCAGATACTGTTTTTGACTTTTCGCAACCACCTCAAATGACTACCCACTCATGCCTTCACCAACACCCGCAGCCACCACCGCAACTATTCCATTATTCACCGTCCACCCCAGCCCACTCCTTTCTTCTGCGTTATCAGTCCCATCCTCGATATTCTGGGTAAGATCTTCCCATAGCTAATGATGTGTCACAGAGAAGATTACTACTGAACCACTGCGCTCTGTATCTCACGGACCTGGAGAACACATTACGCACATGCACGGAAATACGCATGAAGGACTACCGACGTATCCAAAAACACCCCGGGATCCTTGGGTTCGCCTGAAGGTCTCGCACACGGAACGTACACCAACATACAAGCACACACATGCGCACACAAAGGCCGGGTGTTCAGCTTTACAGCTCCAGGACTGACAGATATGAAGTGTGCGAGTCTTTACATCAAACAGTTTACGCTAAAGCTTTGGAAAACTTTCGATTGGTTTAGGTTCCAACGTGGGATAGGTGCAGAGGAGACATGAGGAGCATACAAGTGGACATGCAGAGTCAACGGATGGCAAAGGAAGAGTGAAAGAAGACGTGTCTTACTTTGGCAGGTGTTGCTTCTCTCCTCGTATCCTGGGTTACATAGACACTTCCCAATAGGCACAAGCCACTCTCCTTCTGTGCTGCAGTACATTCGTGGAGGCTCCTCCTCTTTGGAGTGATTGACGCACGAGCCTTTGACCTCCACCAGCGACTGGGAGTCCATGGGCACCGTGTCAGGGAAGGAGGCCAGATTCCTCACGGTGTACGGGCACTTCTTAAAGTAAACCCTCACTGAGACTAAAGCTACGCAGGCGCCCACGTCCTGGAACGCCAGGTAGAAGCCCTTCTTGGTCATGGCTCCCACCTCGCGGACCTCAGTGTTGAGCTTAAGGATGCGATCTCCGAGGTCCGTTTGGGTAAAACTCTCATCGGCGGCGATGGTGTCGATCTTGGAGAACTGATGCTCTCTGAAGTGGCTGCCCTGGTCGTCGTCCGTCTCCAGGTAGAGGAGGTTGAAGGTCTCCTTGCAGGTGCCCAGGACCAAGGGAATGGAGTTGCAGTCCCTCAGAGTGAACTTCAGCTCCACGTAGATCTTCTGGGCCGACTGGCGAGGGATCCAGTTGGTGCGAAGCCAGTTGTTCTGGCTGTACTCCATCACATTGCAGACCTGGAAGGTCCTGATGGGAGTGTAGTGCTCATCCACCCCACTGATCTCCTCCCACTGGAAGAGATGGAGACAAGGAGAGGTCGAAAGGAGAAACAGAGGGAGACAAGAGAGACATAGGACCAAATACAGGAAAAAAAAGGGGGCAGATATAAAGAAAGAAAGAAAGAAAGAAAGAGATACAAGAGCAAAGGGAGAGAAGGTGGAAGAAGCATGACAGGTGCATAGAAGATATGAAATCAGAAAGAAAAGGACAGAAGTACAAGAAGGTTTGGGGTCCAAAGAGAGAAAAAAGGGGAGCAAAGGGATTGGGGGGGAAAGTTGAAATAGGAAAGTAGGGAGTTTTGGGAGTCGGGGAAGGAGGAATAAGAGGAAAGGAGGGAAAGATAGCAGAGAAAAAACAAAGTTATCTCCACCCTGTAAGCATTTAGAGATGAATTATTTAGATCCAGATTCACTCTTGCTGAATACTAAGCATCTAATAAACACTTAAGGGTGAAAAAAATCACACTACCAGATCTCTGGTAAATTACTCAAATTAATTAAAAGCAAACTTGCTGCCTTAGCCAAATTTTCGAGATTAGAATGCTGCGAAAAATATCTCTGAGAGAAACCGCAAAGTGTGATTTCCCATCTCCATCTTTCTAAATTTGCGTGAAGCTGCTTAATTAACGTTCAATATTAACAAAATCTCGTAGTGTATTTGTTTTTTGTTTTTTTTTCCACCCTTACGCTAACATGTTGTTTTTTCTCTAAAAGTGAGGACTTTCAAGCTGCAGTCTTGGTTATTTGCATCACAGTACTACTGCTACTAAAAGGAAACGTGCTGAATCCACTATGAAACAAAAGAAGCTACGACGTATAGACAGATGTGAGTGTATACCAGGAACGTTCGTGTCTATCTTACATTTTCCCTCCACTGGGAGAAAGCAAAGAGAGAGGAGAGGAGAAAAAGAAAGTGGGGTCATTTCCTTTTGAATTCAACACAGCGGGAAGACTCATTGATCATGTGCTTTGGCTTTTTGCTGTCCTGGCAAATCAGCATTGGAATAGAGCGATGATGAATGGACAAACACCTGAAACAGTGGGCTCGTAGAGTGGTTAAAATGACAGTCATGAGAACGAATGGGCGTCAATGTGTCAATGAATGCTTTGTCTATGTTGTTCTTCTTTCGCTGTGAAATTCAAAATGGACGTGTGAGACATACACAGACCCTCTCGGTAACCGAAAACTAAATTATCGCTCCTTTCAAACGCGCATTAATGGAAACATGAACCCACCCACGCGTATACGTCCACGCAAGGCTCCATGTGAAGTGTTTAAAGTCTCGTAGCGGGCGAACGCAGCAGGTGCCTTCAACCCCGAACGGCGGAATTAATGACGAGCTCAGAAAGCGCCGGTTCTCCATTACATGTTTTTGTGTGTGTGTGTGGGTGTAAGAGCATATCTATGAGTGTCTGGTGTTGTGGAGGAGCTCTCAGGCTGAAGGATGGCCACTTGCTTTTCATCTCACAGTGAAGTTAATGAAACACCCCTGAGAGAGAGAGAGAGAGAGAATGAAGAAGAGGGAGAGAGAAAATAAAAGAGACAGAGCTGGAAAGAAAAAGAGCTGCAAAAAAAGGAAGAAATGAGCAGGAGATAAAGTGAAAGGAAAACCGAGAGGAGAGATTCCGTTGGTGTTTAGTCTCCCCCGTCATGCTTTCTTTGGCGTCACCTCATTCATCAGAGCTCTCTATAGGTCTAACAATAACAGGGAATTAAGTGGGCCTAAATATAGAGAGGCGAAGCTAAACTTAACGCTTCGCCTCGCGAGCGCAAGTGCAGCTTGACTTTAAATATAAAAATGATGTGATGACATGCAAAAAGGTGCGCTGACGGACTCTGACAAAACAAAGAGCGAAGGGAAGACAAGACCTGCCACTGTGATCCGTGATGCTGTTGACGTTACGCCTGATAAGACGACGTACTGACTCGCACATAATTAGAACGCCGCACTTTGTCTGACATAGTTAAACAATATGTTCTAACTAAATTACACAGGGTCGCTGAAAATGCACCACCTTTGTCAGTGAAGGTGTTGAAACTGAAGCCTTGACTTTAAATAGTTGGCAGCCATGTGGGCATGCGTATAGGATTCAATGCTAAAGCAGTAAGAATGCATTGTGTTCCAGTTGTGTCTGACCATGAGTCACCAGCTTCACTACTGTCCTTTAATTACTTTCTATTTGTTTTCCAGGAAAATCGCTGGTTGATTATATCTGGTTTGTCCTAATTCTAACTATTATCTCTGTGAATTTAAGTAATTGAATGTGTGTGACGCATCGTGTGTGTGTGAAAGCTGGTGTTTGCACTATTTAGTCTTCAGATCTCTGTGCAAAATTGCAGGTTTATCCTTAAGTGTATTTTCAAGTCCACCAAAACTATGCAAACCGGGCGGAAAGCGGACGTAACTGATGGCTGTCTGTTTTCTGTGTAAACTGTTCGCCAAACACGAAACGGCTTTGAAATCAAGTCCAGGTACGTGTGTGTGTGTGTGTGTGTGTGTGTGTGTGTTAACGAAGCCAAATCCTATTCCAGAGAAGATGACTCAACTCCAGCGTGTTTCTGCCAAAGTAAATGAGAGGTAAACCCCCCTCCCTAACCATCACCATCCCCGAACGTTACTTCATGAATCAACTCCTCCAACCTTGAATCACTTCCCCTCATTAGTCAACTAAGGCTTGTTTTCTCTGTCCTTCAGACAAGACAGAAGGTTGGGTGAGGAAATAAACAGAGAATGTTTAAGCATCATTATCCATCTCCGGATCCAGGAGTGCATTACTTAAACAGGGGCTGACGCTCTCCGTCTCCCAGCGGTGGCAGACGAGTGTCAGGGTGACTCGACCGTCCAGAAGATCACAGTTCTGGCTTTATGATAAATTCAAGATTGCACATAGGAACAATTATTTTATTATTAGCATTAGCATTTATTAGCATTTCTACTGCTGCCTCCTATTTCAGTTGTGCCACCAGCGGAGGCGACTCCCGCTGTGAGTGCGTGGAACTGTACGTCAACCAGGATAAATAAAGGTCCAAAGCCAGCAGCCACCCCCTTGTTTCTCTCCAGGGGGTCGTATCTCCCCCCCCACCTCCCCTTGCCCTCTAATTGATATATAACAACACCACGACCCTACACCGGTCCTCGTGACCTCCGACCCCGACCCCTGATGGTCACAGCTGGGGCACAGTTTTGTGTGATCCTGGCCCTGGTTTCTCTGATCTGTGCTGTAGGTGAAGCGGCTAAAGGGACAGTAAAATGAAGTGTGGTAACCTGATCCGCTCGAGACATAACTATGGCAACAGGCACGACTCAGAGTCACCGAGTCAGCGCACCAGTTCAGCCGCTTCAAAGGCGTTAGGTCAGTGGTAGTTAATGGACCGGTGCATGGACGAGTGTTGGGTAACAATGCACTTAGAGCTGGTCCAGTTTTAAGGAACGAGATCGATTGTCCTCTCCAGAGCTTAACAATAACTAATCATGAATTCTGTTATCATGTTTGTATTTTATGTCATTACAAATACAGAATAAAGTTAAATTTAAAAAAAGAATTTATTTTAAAAAAGAGGGGGTGTGCAAAATATTGTTTTTTGTGCTAATCGCTAATTTTATTTATATAAAAAAATATTACTTGAAATTAGAATTTTAAAAAATCAGTTAAGGTTGCCTTTTTTTTTTTTTTTTAATTAAATTTAAACACTTAATTTCTTTTTTTATTTGCACAGCTAGCTCATTTGTGATTGTTGGACGAGGATTTTCCAAAAGAAAAAAAAAAGAGAAAATAAACAAAAGCCAAGTCGCTATATTTACAAGCGTCCGCTGTGTCTCTACAGCTGGAGCGGGGTTGGCTTTAAACGCCGGAGCGCCCACAACAAATGCAGAGGCAGCTTACGGTTTGGGATCCGGAGAGGTCAGCGGGGTTACAGGCACGACAACTGCAGCGTATCAGTTAGAGGGCATTTCATCAGCCGGCCGTACCAAAGCACAAACCCACTTCATACCTCCTCCTCCTCTTCTTCTTCTTCTTCCTCCTGTCTGTGAGCAGCTCTGAGCTTTGCCCGGCTAATCCTTGTTTATGTTTGCTCAAGGACACACCGACAGCAAACCGCTGAAGGATGCTGGAGACACGGGAGCCGGCTGATTGTCTGCGTATGTAAACAGTGCGGCGGAAGGAGGATGCGAGCTCGGTGCTTCTTACGTTTCTTAATGTCAGCTTATGTCGAAAACTAAAATATGCAGAACATTTGTAATACTGCGGGGTGTGTTTACTCCGCTGGTAAGACATCTGTTTATTTGTTATTAATGTTTTTTAAATAATTTCGAGGTATTTATATATTTTTATACTTTTCAGGGCTTCAGCTTTCTTTCACTAATGAGCGCTTTTCATGCAATTTTGAACATGTTTTCCAGGCTGCGTACTTGCTGTCAGTCACGAGGGTGTGCATTAACTGATCTCACCCAAGAAGGAATTAAGCACAACACATATACCTCCTCCTCATCTCTGGTCCCTTGCTTTACCCTCCTAATCCTTGTTTATGGAAGGGCTTTCCCCCATACTCGCTCTCTCTCCTCCTGGGGAGCAGGGGAGCAGTTTATGCTGGTCAGGCTGATTTCATAGATGGGGTGGATGCAGTGCACGGGGGGCTTTAAAAGCCCGTGGGTGACTAAAGAACTTGAAACAGCAGTCTGTACTCTGAGGGTGAAAAAAAAAGAAAATAGAAAGAAAGTAGGCTGACTGAAGTGGTGGGCCCAGCCCCAAATATAAAAAGCCACGCCATTATGCGCCTGCCACCCCCGCCCTCTGCTTCCAGACCTGAGGACTGGAATGTGAGGTGTGAATGCGCGTCGATTAAATATTTCGCATTATTCCGGACAGCATAAGCAAAGTTCACACGCCGGCTTTTCTATACTGATGTCAAGCTTCTTCTTGGGTTCTATCGCTGCCTTTGTGGCGAAGCTTCAATAAAAGACAGTAGGGAAAAAAAGCACTTAAGGTTAAACATTTACTGCAAAAAATAATTAAAATTCAGCATTTTTCTGAAGCCTGGAGCCTCACTAACACTGACATGGAACTTTTTGCAGAAACTATATGTTAGTTGTCATTTAAAGCGAACATTTAAAACACTGCAGCAACTTTACTTTTCTAAACACTCAATGCAAAGCTCCCTGGCATGAGCAGCAATGCCGCCGTGTTCCCTGTTTCTACGAAGACTAGACTTCACTTTGTATGTGGCCATTAATTGTATTTTGTATGCACAGTCAGTGTCTGGGGTGTTGGTTTGTTTCTGAAGAATGCTTTCAAAGCATGCAAGAATGTAATCTTTAACACTCTTTAGTGATGGGCTAAGCCCCCTGGACGCTGCTAAGCAATCAGCCTGCCTCCCAGACAGATAACAGTATATCTGGATCACGCACACACACACACACACACAGACAGACAGACACACACACAGACACACACTCATCAGTCCGGTCGGCAGCTCCGGAGTGAACATCCTGGGGAGGCTAAGCTCTTAATTTGTTCTGACCGGAGCACGTTGTGTCTCGGTAGGCCAATAGCCACGGCCTCTCCATCAATGTGAATGAGTGTTTGTCTGTGTATGTGTGTGTGTGTGTGTGTGAGAGAGAGAGAGAGAGAGAGAGAGAGAGAGAGAGAGGGCTCAGTGCCACTGCCACATTATGAGAAATCATTTGTGAGCAGCAGTCTCCCAGGGCACGCTGCTTATCGGAGCGCAGTCAGTGGATGACGTGAGTAATTACAGATGATTCACCTTGAGGACTTGATCATCAGCAATATCTCTCTGTGTGTCTCCCCCTCATTCTTTCCTGTCCTTCCCTCTCTCCTCTTCCCTCTCTCTCTCTCTCTCTCTCTTCCTCCCTTTAGTCTCTATCTCTCACCCTCTTTTTGATCCTTACCCATTCCCTCCTCTTTCTCTCTGGAGTCGTTCTCATTTAAGAATGACATTGACTCCCATTCCTGCAGCACTTTTATGAACTATACAACCGCGCTCTCTTTTGTCTGAACTTATTCAAAGCAAAAATAAACTTGAAGCAAAGCAGACGTCGCTGCGAAAACTGCACAGCCTCTGTCACACATTCCAACGTCCAGCGCTGGATCCAGAACCCGATATCGGAGCACATTCTCCTGGTTGCTCACACATGAATAACTTCCATCGGCACATCAATCTCGCCGTGCAATTGGTCACGCAATTGTTGTGTAGCCTGCAATTGTCTTTGGACTAAATGCATTTTAAGCAGCCTGCAGTTTTTTTTCCCCCCCTTTTGTTCGTTTCTTGACTGTGGTTCAACCTCATGGAGGAACTCGGAGCGTTCTGACGGTGCCAGCGATGTATATGGCCGAAGGAAACAAGGTTTGGCAGCTCCGTGGAACAAATGACTGGATTACCTTAAGCCACTGCCAAGGAGTAATTCTAACACTTAATAAAGGAAAAACGAGGAAGTGTGTGTGTGTGTGTGTGTGTGTGTGTGTGTGACACTGGGCCAGCCTCGAGGCACAGTAGCCTAACTAGTTAGACAAATAAACACTGAGTGCGAGCCCACTGGAGGGTTTCAGGAGCAGAGACTGATAGATGAGGCTGCAGCAGTATTTGTACTCGAGCACGGGACGTTGCTGCGACGTTGCCGTTTGGTTTTACGTAAGCTATACAGTTGTAGTTGTAAAATACTTCAGCAGCAGACACATATTTACAAAGCTCACTGTAGATTTTTGCAACTACAAAATTGGGTAAGCGCAGCTCTGATGAGGAGTTTCATCACTTCTGGTTTTATCTTTTTAAACGCATTCATGAATAAACACTCACAGACTTGGAAAATGTGTGTTAAGAGGCAGTTACCGTGTTAAAATGTGCGACAGACAGAATGGAGATTGTGCAACAAATGGATTAACGAGTGAAATGTCAACATGGGAACTCCGTAGTTTACATGCAACAGCAGCACAACTCCATCTCCGTTGTTGATGTGATATTTACTAAAAAACCGGCCGTAAGCTTATCGACCTTCTTATGTGGATGCTTTTGTGCCTCCAACCTAAAATCCTTTAATGCCTTAATCTTTTCTTTAAACACACACACACACACACACACACACACACAGACCCAAATACACAAACACTCACACATACACGCAGTGCATTTTCCCTTTAAGCATCTTGACCATATGGCACGCTCCGAATGCTTAACCTTTAACCTGCGAGACGAAGAATGGACAAAAAAACACGTCTACTAAAAAAAAAGTGGGTTAATCTGCACTTGGCTCTTTGGTTCAACATGACACAGTGAGAACCCCTGGAGTTTGAAAATCCTGATTTCATGGCTGAAGCCCACATCCAGTTCATGTTAGTGGATCTGCTTCTTAAATGTAAGCATATTCAAGCACAATGTGGGTAAATATGGAGATAGAAGATACTCACCCCGTGCGACGGGTAGGAAATCCATCCTAACTCCCCTTGGCTTGCTTTAGAGTCTAACAGGTTGACTGTGGCGAGGAGGAGAGAGGAAAAACAAAGACAACATATGAGTGTCTAGTCCTTGTTAGCCCCAATTAGCCTTTATCTAATCCCACAGGAGGGATCACCAACCTCAAGCACTGATCATGACTCTATTTACTCAGCTGCCACACACACACACACACACACACACACTCTACATATATCCAATGTTCACAGTGAAAGTAGGATTTCTTTTCTTGCTTTGTGAGGCACCATAGCAGAGGTTGGCGGAGTGAAATGCCAAAATCCTCAGAAGGTATTGGACTGAAGCGCAGCCAGCATTTCAAAAAAAAAACCACAACAAGACGTATCCATTTTTGAAGACGCATGCTTTTGACCCGTCTGAGCCTTGTTTTTTACCGAGCCGCACATTCATCCATTGTGATTGGACTGTAACAAGGTAAAGCAAAACTGCATCGAATCCGAATTCAAATGCAATCAGCAGTTTCAGAGGTAGTCAGAAATTCAATTTTCCACACTGGAAACCAAAATATAAATCCATTTATAATAAAAGGAAATACAATTTTATGTGTGTGTCCTGCCAGGAATCCATTCTTTTCAAACAGACATCAAGCGGCGGCGAGGGGGAAATCCATGTCTAATAGAGGGGATATGACAGAGGATAAATAAGACAAGGAGGCTCCAGGAGCGCCAGGGTGCGAGAGCTGAGGCTGAGGCTTCGCCAAACGGTTTCATGTAGCAAACTTTACGGCACCAACTTTGGGAGAACGCGTCGTGATGTTCTGGTGATGGCACTTTTATTGCCCACACAGACCAAAACAAGAAGTGCAAAGAGTAGGTGGCTTGTGGTCGCGTGCATACGTTGGCCAAATTGATTCTGACATACAGTATCTCGCCCGAGCACAGAGAATGAGCTGCAACATTTTCTATTCTTAGTGTGTACACATGGCCGTGGAATGAATGATTACCGCTGAATACGACTGTCAGTATGGGTCATGACACATGGAGGGAGGAATGTGGAGGCAGCTCTCCGCTCAATGGATGCCCCACTTCAGTAGCCAAACTGTCACATGCAGTTTGGCTCCAGATTCTCTTTGGTGACAAAAATATGAAATGACTCGAGTGCTTTCACTTCGAGCGGCTGTTTATGCGGCGACAATAAAACGCCGGCAGTTTTCATTATCTGAATTTGCAGCACTTTGTGGTTAATCATTACTTTTTTTTTTATGCTAAGAAAATATGGTGATGTGATAAACAGGCTGAAAAAGACTTTTGTTTGTGCTTATTAGGACTTAAATGTGTATTTTTTAAAATATATTTTTACTTTTCTGTGAATTTCAAAGTCCAGAAAAAATCCCTCGACATGACAAAGCAGAGGACAAATAATCATAAATGGATGAAGATGGATAAAGTTGTGCCGTCCTCCTGAGTGCAACCACAACTACACACACACACACACGCAGCAAAGTGAAGCAGCAGTGCAGTTAGGCCCTGCAGCTGTAACTCTATTCACTGTGAAAATATGAGGAATACATTCTCCCTGCGTTCTCCTGTTCAAAGCTCCGGTAAGCAAGAGTGTACACATCTCAAGTCAAAGAAAAATATTTGGGGGTCATGAAGGACGGCCGCGGAAAAGTGAAACCTCTTCCAGTCAGACAACATTTACCCCTCGCGAGCGGCGCGAGCTAAGTTTGCACAGAGGAGTGATTTGCCACTCTGTGAGCTAATTGTTGTTTCGCACCAGAGTAAAGGTTGAGATACCATCGTTCTCTTCAGGGAAGTCTGATGAATATCAGCCAGTGTGGCAACGACAAAAAAACAGAGCCTTAGAGATAAGCAGAGAAAAGAAGAGCCACATATGGAGACTTATTATCGAATTCTAGGCTAGAAAAGCTGCCAAATTGAGGCTCACCTGAGCTGTAGCCGCGTGCTAAACCACTCAGCCAGCTGAGTGGCAGTAGACACATTCCTATTAGAGTCTAATGAAGCTATCTGTTCATGTCAGATAATAGCAGCTCAGCATCCAGGGCCATTGCTTCCAATTTACATTTCTCAACGAGCCGAGCCCACCACTCAAATTGAGCCGAGCGAGGGAATTTGAGAGCAGAAAATTAGACAGCTCTCATATCGCAGGAGGGGGAAGAGAGAAAAAAAAAAAAGCCCCCTCCAGCTGCACTTGGCTGGAGAAATCAGCACCCACACACACAAACACACACGTACGACTCGCATAATCACTAAATAAAAAAAAAAAAAAATCACACCAGAATATGCATCCTCATCCAAGAAACAAGAGGAGTAAACACACATTCAAACAGAGGAGCTGTACATCCGCCAAGAGCTGCCAAAAAACAAAATCACACACAGATACTGGATCTGCACACACCCACATCTATGCATACACCGTTTCACATGCTCACCAAAACGTGCACATGCGCACTGAACAAAACAGAGCGTACACAAACATTTGCTGACAGTCTTTCTTACTCACACACACACACACACAGTCAGTTAGCAAGCTAGCGTCAGCCAAGCATATAGCCCCTGCCCCATCAGGGAGTGCCTCTAAACGGGAACTACGAGTATTAATAGCAAACTCAGCCAGCCTGTCTGGGAGGGAGCAAAACATCGCAGAGGTAGAAACAGGTGAATCAATATATAAAGCAAACCAAGGCCGCCATCAAACACCCACACACATAAACCAGCCCCTGATAAATGGCCGACATCACTTCTGCACTCGCTGGTGACCCAGTATCTCTCCATACGGCCTCGTGTTGAACACACAGCGCCTGTGCGGGGTTACTTATTTTCTCATAAGTGAAGACTAATGGCACAAATTTGAATTTAGTCAATCCAATCTGGAGCCACAGAACTGAATCAGGGTGGACGAGTCGAAGAAGAAGCAGAAGAAGAAGAAGCTGCTGTCACTCGGTGGTGTCGTCCTAGAACCAGAGACCCTCCCATCTCGAGGACAGAGCAGATATCCACCCATCTAACCGAGCGGATGAGGCGGCTTTGTCTTTGCAGCTTGGCTCTGAGCATGTGAAGGTTGGCAGGCCGCAGTGCAGGCAAAGCGAGGCGACTTGTGTCTGTGTTAAAGGGTGAAGTGTTCACCTCCCATTATGAATTATTCAAGAGCAGAGTCGCTCTGTCTGATGTTGCTGCTGCTCGCCCAGCCCCTCTGCCCCCATTCTTCTTTCTTTTTTCCTTTCTTTCTTTAATCATCCTTATTCACACACTTCATACCTCACATTTATGTGTCTTACATGTTGTTAATCAGCAGCATAAAGGGCTCACAGCTCTGTCTGATCATACATATACATACACCTCAACACATCCACACACAAATCCCTTCTCCTAACTCTGAAGCCCTGCTGCTAAAACCAGGATGCCAGTCTTCCTCCTTCAGATCACTCTTTGGTCATAAACACAGTGAAAGCAGGTTTGTTTGGTGTGCACGCACATTTCCAGCACCTCTGAGAAGCGCCATCGCTCAGCAGCGTTCCTGGGGCCCAGCGGGACTTCTGCTCCGGGCTCTCCAGGCCAAGCCTCCCTCCCGCCGGCTAAAAATACCCGAGGCCTCCTGACGTCCCGCAGCGGGGCCAACGTTACACCACCGAAAGCTACACTCCGCACCGCAGCACAGAGACTCACCGACTTTTTTTTCCTCCTCCTTTCTTTTTAAATATGGCAAAAATTAAACTGATATTTCATGTTGCGTTCAAAGTTTAAAATGAATCCGCGCCACTTAAAACGACATTCTTGGGGCTCATTTCTCTATTTCTCTAAACTTTTTCCCAACTTTTTTCCTCCCCCAAAATCTTTTAAACAGGATCATTACGCCTTAATAAAAGCCACACGGTAAATGAAGAAAAAAAAAAAAGAAATGTTAGTCGAGGCAGAGAGCCGAGATGGAAGATTAAACGAAATCTAACTACACGTCTGGTCTCCTTAGTAATAAGGAGGAAAATAAAAACAGAAGTTTGCCATCGTCCTGTTAAAGCTGAGGTCAGTTTTCCATGAAAATATTTTCTTCACTTGATCAGTAATTAATACGTTTGCTCCATTGAGGGAGATGTCCCACAACTTGGCTAAAACAAGGCCCTTGATTAATTCATTTTCTTAATTTTCCAATTTAACCCACTATTTAGCTTCCGTGTAAACTACAGAAAACTAATTTACAGGAGATGTTTGTTTTTTTTAAATCACCATCGATATTGTAATTTCCAAACAGGCTTCTTCGGCCAACTTCTTCTTCTTCATCATCTGCTGCTGCTGCTGCGCGCTGGAGACGGTTTGATCTCCAGCAGCTCGTCGGCAGCAAAACAAAAGTCAAAAATAAAATTAACCTCCCTGTAACTTTATCCTCACCCCGTAGTCAACACTGACCTGCAGTAAGAAAAGAAAAAAAACGACCTGAGTTAGATTAAAAAGTGAAGAAGAGTCATGCGTAATGGTCTCAGTCTGATTTATCACTGCGTAATTATCAACGTGAATTAAATTAAAACCGGTTCCCTGACGTGCGCAGTGACTCTTGGAGCGACTTTTACACCGCAGCAGGCCCGAATCAGACTAGAGGAAGTACTTTTTACTGTAGAATCACACAGACAACTTAAAGTGTGGTAAAAATCCAAGTGCTGCCCTTTTATGTGCTCAGTTTCACACGAGTGCGTCTGTGCTGCGCTCGTTTAGACATTTGTACCAACTTTATGCTCCTTTTTTTTCTACGCCACCAATTTCCAGTGTAATGCTACAAATAAAATTAGGATATATTAAATATGAAGTCTTCTTGATTTCATGATTCTAATCCGACTTTAAAGACGGACGACGCCTCTGCGGAGAGAAACGTCGCCAAACTGATCCAGATCGTGTTTTGTGCTCCTCTAGATCCATATTTTGTGGTTCAGAAGTCTGTATGAATTTCTTTACGATACTGAGACGCAGCAGCTCGATACTGACACTCTCTGGCTGATTTATGACTTGGATAGGTGGATTTAAGCGTCTTTGTGTTCACACTTTTGATGCCTCCACCAACTCGTAGGAACTCCTTCATCTCTCTCGTCTCATCCACAGACTGGAGCTCAGCGACTTTCTCTTTTCTCTCTCTCGCTGAAACACTTACGCAGCAGTGGGCTTTTGTATATTTTCATTAGGTTGATGTGTATTTTATGTGGTCTTGCTTCTTTTTTCACTGCTGAGCCACCTTACATTAGACCAGCCTTGTTGAAATCTTTGCTCTCATTTAACGAAGTTTTTTTTTTTTATTTTATTTTTTTACAGGAACATTTGCGGTGCGTAATTTTCACTCTGTGCCATTTCTTCTAGCATAGGCTCCCTTAAATTAAACCTGCTGCTCTCTCACACGGATAAACACAGATATTTGCCTGATTTGAAAAGTTGTGCACAAAAAAAGTCAAAGTTTTAATGATGAGTAAATAATTTAAATTAAAAACACAATTGAAAAATAAACTTTTTGTTTGACCTTAAAGTTCAGGTGGAAACTTCAGAGGGGGTAAAAAAAAAAAAAAAGAAAAAAGAAAAATGCTGCACAAGTTGTGTCTGGTTAATCATCATTTCACTCATTAACTGTCAGGCTACTAAACTTTCTGCTTGGAGAGTCTCGGAGCAGAACTGATCGTTTGAAGTGGCCTTAAAAACTAACTGCCCTGAACTTTCCAAACTCGTCCTGCAAGATCAGCTTTCTTTCTTACATGACTTTATATTTAAAATAATCCTTTAAAAAACGTTTAATTTAACATTTAATTACTATGAAGCCTGCTAAAGGCTGAAGCAGATTCATTTGCTGGTATTTGGGTTGAAATCAGGATTTGGAGGCTGCCTTTAAAAAATAAAACCTCAAAAAGCACTGCTGGTACATTCACACAACATGCATTTTTACTTCTTCTGTGTTTTTATTTATTTATTTATTTTACATGGAATAACTTTGATTGTGGCCCCTTTAAAAAAAGAAAAAAAGAAAAGTGGTTTCATCTGCACTGAACTCTCCAATATTGTGCCCTCGATATATTTCCCAGTCTTTAGTGGCGTGTCAAGGGTTACAGCATCTCCAGCACGCCTTTCCTCCTCTTTGTCCCCGTTACAAAACACTTTAACACGTATTAAGTTTAAAACAGAGGGAATGTGTTTCAAACATGGGAGGAAAAAAAATAATAAAGTGAATGAAACTTGTGCTAAAGAAAAGCCTCCAGCGCAGTTTGCACAAGTGTCGGAGTGGACCGGGCTTCGAATTATTCCCACCAGCTCATATCCACGTTAGAAGTGAGCCAAACTCGCACAGGCCAGAAGTGCCACTCGTTTAGCTTAAGGTTGCATTTAAGTGTTATTTATATAATGCAGTTAGAATTTATTATGCGGTTATTTCATGACTTCTTCAGATTGCCGGTTTACGAGATCCCTTCAGTAGGCTGCGAGTCTTTATTCAGGTCAGAACCATAAAAATACAATTTAAAAAAAAGAAAGAAAGAAAGAAAAGCAGCCGTACGCGTTTTTACGCGCTATGCCAATGTGCTCATCTTCTATTTATTGCCTTTAAATCGACTTCGGCTCACAGTCACCCAGTAACTGGGGCGTCTACCCCAAATGGATCCTTGGATAAAACAAGACAGACATGAACCTCTCTCAGAAGCACAGACACCGGAGTTTCTTTACATCTCTTCGCCCCGTAGCAGCTTCACACGGGAGCTGCCTCGACATCGCTCAGCTTCATTCATCTCCCGTTTAAAGAACTATTAACCCCCCCGTTAGCGAAATGGTCCGAAATTTTGCTACCGTGTCTGCCTTGTTTTGGCTCAGTCTTCAAGTTTATTGTCTGATTACTGCCCGTTAGTGATCTGATCCCGGTTCCCGCTGATGCCCGGTGTCACCTTCATGCGCTTTTGGATCGTCTTGTCATTGTAATCACGATCATTTTGGACACCAAAGTCCGCGGCGAGCGCGCAGCACTGGCCGCGATGTGTGCCGTAGCGCACCATTCATACACGCAGACACACACAGGCGCGCACACACACACACTCACACAGAGAGAGACACACACACACATGTCCGCAGCCCGAGAGTTGTCTTACCTTCGTTCGGGGGGTAGATGATGGGGAACGCAGGAATAACGCTGGACAGTAAAAGAAGTAAAATGAAAAGGAGTGATCGCGGATTGCAATCCATGGCGGCGGATCAGAGGTACATAACTCCATGAAGCCACTGACTGATCTGGGAACGTCTTCTCTCCACTCAGCTTTCTCCCTCTCCCTTGCTCCGTCTCCCTCCGGTTGGAGCAGTTTTCCGCTGGGTCCTACAGAGTCTGACAGGCAGCAAAAAAACACACACACAGAGAGTCCAAGTTCATCACAGGTCAGTTTGGAAACGTGCACCGAGGCCCAGTTTTCTGACGACGAATGAAGCTGTTCAATGTTTTATGAGTCAAATCCAAAAAAGTGTGACGTGCTCTCATAAAGAAAAGGGACCAGGAGAGAGATTTGAAATGGATCTTGGAATAAAAGTGTGGCTCCATGTGTTCTAATCCACTTCACATCCACCAAATCTTCTGTTGTTCTTACACTATTTCTATTTTCTGTTTGGTTCTAAACAAAAATATCTGGACTCCAATCAGAGTGTTTATTTGACCCAATTACAGAGGTTTAAAGTAAGTAAAAAAAATCAAACGTAGCCCATAAAAGTCAGTCCAATCTCTGTTTAAACAAAACCACAGAACCATCAATAAGGAGTCGATGTTTTTAATAAAACTGCCAAAAAAAAGTGCTGCGAGTTCAGATCATAGAAAATCTTGGATTTTAATTCTGACTCCAGACCAACCGTTAGCGTCTTCTTGCTTTAAATTTAGAAGCTGGAGCAGTCAGCAGTGTCCTGTGATGGTTTTAATCGTATTTTTGGAATAAACAGAACCCACGGGGGAAGTCAAGATTATAATTTTTGTTTTGAGAGCCACACGGGAAAAAATGACTGCATGCATGAAAACAATTAGTTTCTGTTCATATGGCTGTTGTGTGGTGGCCATGAAATGCACAGACTGGATCACAATTAAACGGCTATTTTTACTCAATACATTCATATAAATGTGTGTTAACATCTAACCAACCACTTCCTTCAGAGCAAACAACACACGTTTCTCTTTATTCTGGTGTCTGTGTTGTAATAATCGCCCAGTGAAGGACGAACTTTTATTTGCGTTGAAGGACACGCGACGTGCTCGTATTTACTTCTACCGTGTGCATTTTTTTTCCCTCTCCTCTCCTGTGGAGGCCATTAGAGGCCCCTGACACCACAATACTTGACGTTGCACTGAAAGGCCGGGTGGCAGCGTAACGTCAGGCCCTCGCTGAGACGCCAGCTGTTGTGGGTGGGGGGTTGGAGGTTAGGCAGCCATGTGATGTATGGGAAAAGTTAAAGGACACAGCGCACACCGAGTCCAACAATAGTGCTCCACTTGGATTTGGAGAAGCTGTTCCTGGATTTAAACCACTCTACTGGTTTGAATGTATAGAAGGAGGGCTGTGTGTTCATAAATCAACCATCAATCTTGCATCAAATAAGACAGAGTTTGTATTTATTCATTATGTTTTCCTGTACTGGGGCTCTGATTTATTGAGCATATTTCACTGGATGGGAGGTTGATGGAAAAGGTCAGGTAGCCGGTTTAACTAATGCTAATGCTGTGCCGCCGCTGAATTAAATTAATGAGCAAACCACCGCGATACCGTAGCAAACAATACCAAAGTTGTATGCAAATCCGAGCCTTATGGAAACACGCGTGTGCGTACTTTACTTAACGCTGCTGCAACTTCAAGACAAACGTTTTTTTTATTAGCCTTTGTCTTGACCATGCCGTGTGTTCACGGGTCCTTTAAAATTAATTGGAGAGTTTTAACGGTGCATTTAGCATAAATATTTTAAAACAAACACCTTAACGGCCAGCTCAGAGCAACAACCCTGAGAAATTTATGAGTTTCGGGTTGTCAATGGATACGGTGAAGAATGATGCCAGGCGGTCTCCGGCTACATTATTAAGTGACTGTGGCATGTGGATTTACTGCAGGTTTTAGACATGCCAGCCTTTGTCATACATCATCTTCTACATCCCACTAATTCACTTATTACACACTGAATTAGATTCATACGAGAGGCTCCGCGGCTAACAATCAATTCCGAGGACGGCCGTTCTGGGCTCGTAGTTTACAGGATTTACTGTCGGCGGAGAACTTTCTGTTATTTCCACGCGCTGCATATTCATAGGAAACTGTCAGAAGCGTCCACATACCGGGAGCCGAGACGAGAAGCAGGCGGTCAGGAGTATCTGCTGCATCATAAAACGACTAATATTACATTTGCTTTTACTGCAAGGGGAAACTAAATAATTAGACACTGGAATGACATAAGAATGTGGAAAAAGGAAGTATTTTAATTACTCGAGTTAAAAAAGAGTGACAGTAAATAAACAAAGAAACGATCACAAGCATTCTCGCTGTTACCATATAGTGACTCGGAGCGTATTTCCAGCTTTTGAAGGAACTTAATGCTGACAGTCAAGCATAATCAGTAGTAATTGTTCTCGTTGGGTTGTCTGAGAGGCACTGTCACTGTGTTTTCAGTCAATAAACCTGCAAGTTAGTTCAGACTAATTGCTGAAAATCTGTTTCTGATTGTGGTGAATTGGAAGAATGCGATGGGTCCCTCCCATGTATCCACTCCAACATTTTTTTTTTTTCCCCCCCTCTTCTCAATGAGCGCTTGTCCATCTTGAACTCTTGCCAGTGGAACAATCCAGTATGAGACGGAGGAAAATATTGATTTAGAGCTGCAATTGTAAGTCATCGTGTGTCTTGACAAGGCTGTATAACGCTCCAAACTCACAGAACAGATGTTGTTTAGGGGCCGCTTTGAAGCCGCCACAACCTGGCCCCCTTACACAGTAACACACAAACAAACAAACAGATAGTCTGGCTGTGTTTACTGCTTGCTGTCAGTACCCTCTTCCTCCCTGTGGTTCTCAGGCGGCACATTCCTCCATACTCACAGCGTACAGAAGGAGGAGAAGCCAGCAGGCTGCTGGCATGTAACCCTATCCCCCCACACCAAACATCATACCACGGACGCTTTCTTACCATTGCCAGCACCACAACTCTTCACCCTTATTCCCTCGGCCTTTTTATTTTCTCGCGGCGCTACAGGGGGATTCTGAAACCGAAGGGGGATCGTAACGGGCTGGTCGTTGTTTTAATAAAAGCACAATTTTAGGTTTTTCAACAACGTTTTACTCACATGGACCAGAACAATACCACCGTAAACTTTTATGCGTCCACTTAGGAGAAGAATAATTGTCAAAGCAACACTGAAAACAAACATATATCATGTTTTTAGGTCTGTTTATGTCAAATGCAGGATCACATGCGTCCCTAAAAGTAAAAGTCTGATTGTGTATCTTTAAACAGCCTCCTCCCAGCAGAACCACTTCTCCACGCTGGATATTAATTTCAGGATCACACAATGCACTTTCATTCTTATCTGGAGAAGAATGTGTCCAGTTGAGTGTGTCTAACTGTTTACAAAAAAAAAAGATCAAGTGCCCCTCAATTTCCTATACTTGCACCAATGATTAATTGGGTTATGGTTCATGTGGCAAATCCTCCCTCTCACCCTCGGAGAGATGGCAGCGATAGGGCTGACTGACCAGCCATAACAGGGTGAGACAGAGCTGGGCCTCCCTCCACAAACTCTCTCCTTTTCCACATCCAGCCATGATCACGTCCCATCATATTATTATAGCTCAGTGGGAAGGGGCTGGCAGGGATAAAAGCAAAAAGCAAAAAAAAAAAAAGCATGCCAGGAGTGGATTTTTAGATTTGTTGTTACGGGCTTGTTTTTATATAAATAGGAAAAAGGATATTATCGAAAATATGATAATTGCGTATTGTTGAAAGATTGGAACTCTCCCGTTGTAGAAACCTGGAAACTCAGTAAGCCGCTGCAGACATCACCGTGCCATTTAGCTAATCGTTGGTTCCCCCCATGATTTGTGGTCCGGACTTGATTTTTCACCGGCTTGTTTCTGCCGCGGCGTGAGCATCGGTCAGATTTATGGTCGCTCACGTGTCTGTGTGAGTGACAGCAGTATAAGCAGCTACTCCCTGAGAAAAACAACAAAATGGCAGAACGAAGCCCACTGCTGGAGACAGCACCTACGCAACAGCAGCACTACCGCGGCAACGTGATGTGTCATTACGGTCCTGGAAATATTGCCGAAGAAACAGTAAACAGTTTCCAGCAGAATCCACCGTATGCTAACCTTATCCATAGTGGTAATAGTGTTGGTGGCAAGTTAAATATATTCACTTTGGGGGATTGTTCAGATCATCGTTAAAATGCCAAAACAACAGAAGGGACAAAAAGAAAGAACTGGTTTCTTCCTATTTTTTCCCATTTAAGAGAAATTAATTATGCTGTTTTGTTGTCTGGTCACTCTGGCCGGGTTCTGTTGCTCAGTTCTGTCTCCTATGAATGAGCTTCATTTACCATTCAGTTGTTTTTATACCACAGTTAGATAATTGCAGGCTGTTTGTCGTTTTGTTTTGTGTGTTGTTTGCTCAAATGAATGCAAATGGCCAATTTACAATCATCATTTAACCTGAGGGGAAAAAAAAAACAAAAAAACATGAACATGCAAACACTAAAGGCCCCAAATGTAAGAACTTAATATTCTAGTTTATTCTATTCTAGTATAGTAAACTACTTTTGCCGATAGACTGTACATAAAAGACAGACGTAGTCTCTAAATCTGAAAGCCATTGTCTCAGTGTCCTAACCTGCATTCTTCGTAATGGCCAGCAGGGGGCAACTCCTCCAGTTACAAAAAGAAATCAGATTTAATAGAAGTCTGTGAGAAAATTATCACACTTCTTCCTTGGTTTGTTGCCTCAGTGAAAATATCTCTCATGTGTTTATAGTGTCATTTGTTAGCATCAAGTTTTCTTTAAGACAGCATTAAAAAAAAAAAAAAAAAAAAAAAGTCAAATTTTGAGTAAAACAGACGATAAAGACAAGTCACCACTGCAAGGGTGTCCATATTGACTGAAGGATTTCTCCTGCTCGCTCATCCCATTTGCTTTAAAAAAGACAAGATGTCAAAGACCAAAATGCCAAATTCAAAGTTTCAGAATAGTTGTTCGCTAACGCTTTGGTGACATGACAGCGGCCACATCCATTTTTACAACATTTACTCTGAGCAACTTAACCTGCGGCACTT